TTATTATTTAGGGCCTCCACCCGCCGCCAATGGCTGGGGGTGAAAATAGGTCCAACCCCTTGTTATTTAGGCTCTTACGTGCTGCCAATTGGTGGGTGTACAGGGGGACACTATGTCCCCCCATTCATTTTATTTATTAGCCCCCACCTGTGGCCATGGGAGAGAGCTGGCTCCAGTGGAGGGGTGTGAGGGATCTGTGCCAGGTCCCCCTTTTTTGTATTAGTGACTGGGTAGCATTAGTAGACATGCTCCTACTCGTGGCATGGCGGGTAGGGGTATCATGGAGGATTTAACCTCCCTTGTACTAATATGTAGGTGATATTGACTCCAATAGGATGAGTGGGCATATGGGGATTTAATATTATTATTAATACTAATAAACTGAGAAAGCTGCGAGCCAGTAGTTCCTTCCTTGTAATAAACTAAAACCAAAGAACGATTTGCAGGATGAAATTTTGTTCAACCAGCAATTTGGTTTTCATTTCATTTGTATTCTTCTATTCGTCTTTCGGACTAAAGAACAAATTGCCGAAAATTCGGAGGGAACAAATGCCCATGTCTAAAATTAACTAGTACATTTTTTTACTCTCCCACTGAATACAATCTATGTCTTTAATAAATGCTAGACTAAATATGTGAATTGTTGCTTGGTCTACCATACATTGAATTTCTTTAACCCCTTAACATGTCATGATTCCCTTTTATTCCATGAGTTTGGTCCTTAATTAAAGGGATCCTATAGGGCCAGGAAAACAAACTCGTTTTCTTGGCACTATAGGCCTCCTCTCCCTCGAGGCCCCCCTCCCTCGGCGCTGAAGGGTTTCAAACCCCTTCAGCCACTTACCTTAATCCAGTGACCTCTCCTCCCCCGCCAGCTTTTTGTTAAACCGAATGTGCATGTGCGGCCAGAGGCGCGTGCATTCAAACGTGCCCATAGGAAAGCATTACTCAATGCTTTCCTATAGGGATCTTTTTTAAAGCTGGACTCCGTGAGGATGTCCTGCGTCAAATAAGTTCGATTTACTCAGTATAAATCGCGGAAGCAGCCTCTAGAGGCTGTCAGGGAGACAGCCACTAGAGGCTGGATTAACCCTGCAGTGTAAACATAGCAGTTTCTCTGAAATTGCTATGTTTTCAGCTTCAGGGTTACAACTAGGGGGATCTGGCACCCAGACCACTGCATTGAGCTGAAGTGGTCTGGGTGCCTATAGTGTTCCTTTAATTTTTTACTTTGGTATCAGCAGCGACCAGGTAAGTAGTACCAAGCAAATATGTGTGTTGTCATAGAAGATCTCTTAAATGTACACTTACTAAAAGTGTAATTCACTATAGCAAATATAAAATATTAAAGGGACACTATAGTCACCTGAACAACTTCAGCTTAATGAGGTTGTTCAGGTGAGTGCTACAGCTCCCTGCAGCCTTTTTCTTGTAAGCACTGTATTTTCTGAGAAAAAACAGTGTTTACATTGGAAGCTTGGAACACCTCTTGTTGCATTCAATCAGACGGCCACCATAGGGACTTCCGAGTGCAGAAGCCCTAAAAAGGCTTCATTGACGTCTGATGTATTCATGCATGGGTGAATACTTCAGACGTGCTATCAGCACACAAAGCACTGTGAACGCGCTTTGTGTGCTGAGGCTGTCAACACTGCGTGGGAGTGGCTTGAGCTGACAGGCTGAAGACCGAAGAGGAGGAGGGGAGGATTCAAACTGTGTAAGTAAACTTATTTAGTGAGTGTGGGTGGGTGACTGAGGGTGAGTGGGTGAGGATGGATGATGGGAATGGATGGATATGGATGATGGGAATGGATGGATGATGGGGATGGATATGGATGATGGGAATGGATGGATATGGACAATGGGGATGGATGATGGGGATGTATATGGATGATGGGAATGGATGGATGATGAGGATGGATATGGATGATGGGGATGATATGGATGATGGGGTGGGTGGATGATGGGGATGGATATGGATGATGGGAATGGATAGATGATGGGGATGGATATGGATGATGGGGATGGATGATAGATATGGATGATGGGGATGGATATGGATGATGAGAATGGATGGATATAAATGATGGGGATGGATGGATGATGGGGATGGATATGGATGATGGGGATAGATGGATGGATGGATATGGATGATGGGGATGGATGGAGAAAGAGTGTGTGTGTCTAATTTTTTACTACTTGTGTGTTTGCATAGAAACACTATATATAAAGAGATCTCTATATATAGTGTTTCTATGCAAACACAGTTTGGCTGAGGAGGGGGGCGGGTATAGAAAGCAAGCTGAGCTGTCAGTGAGACAGCTCAGCTCGCGAACGCGCATTCCGCGGTTGAGCGCTGAGTTTCTTCTTAGGGCGGCATTCAATGCCGCTCTATGAAGAATGCGATTGGTGCAGCGCGAAACCGTGCATACGCACCACATCGCGATGGCGCTTCTCAATGAGAAGCATCCTATCGGGCCCTGCGATTTCGTCATTTTGCCGAAAAAGGGGTCATGGCCTAGTGGGGAGCTCGGCGCTGGAACGGAGGTAAGGTTTATTTTTAATTTTTTTAAATGGCAAGTTCATATAAAAGCAAGAAAGAAGGCTGGGGGACCTGTCTTTCTTGCTTTTATATGTTGACTATAGTGTCCCTTTAATAAAGTGCTTATATGTGTAATATGTGCAAATTTCCAGATCAACAATTAAAATGCAAAACCATAAAATGCATTCAAAAACATTTCTTTCAAAGTATACATTTTGATTGAGTACCAAGCAGAAAACTAAGTGAATCATTATATTGTTTTTCATTATTTGTTTGAGTTACGAAAAAAAACTGGCTAACTTTCAGTTTCTATTTGACAGAAACACGCCATAAAGAGAAGGTTTTGTAAAATGAAATGTTTCAAGGTTTGTTTTCAAGTTAAGGAGATGGTTACAACACATTTCAGTGTGGCTGAACATTTTGTACATTTTCAAAACACTGTAAGAAATGAAATCCTCTTTTTAGGCTTATTAATATTGAATATGGTTATTTGCTAGCGTTTGGCACAGAAGTCACACTGGTTGTTATATATAAAATAAGAATTTACAGTGAATTAATTTCAAATTTAAGGCCAAGCAGGGTTATTTACTAAAGTGAGAATTCAAGGTGAATTCAAAGGGAATTTCCAATTTAAATGAACACAATAGGGTTAAGGACACATACGTATTCCTGAACCTGTAGTGTTAAAACCACCATTTAGGTGGCTTGCTCTCCATGGGTCTACAGGCGCTAGTCCCTCTCCTGAACTGCATCTTTGGCTGACATCATCAGAATCAATGATCTCAGCCAATCCAATGCTTTCAGGGCATTGACTAAGATTGTCAAGGAAGTGGGGGTGGCCAGACACGACCCTGGTCAATCAGCTTCTCCTCCTAAAGATGCATTGAATCAATGCATCGCTATAAGGAAAGTTCAGCGTCGCTGAACGGCAGTGCTGCTCACTGTGCCAGTGGAGGTGTTCCTAGACTGTAATGTAAACACTGCCTTTTCTATGAAAAGACAGTGTTTACTGCAAAAAGCTTGCGTGGACTGCATATACTCACCAGAACAAATACAATAAGCTCTGGTTGTTCTGGTGACTATAGTGTTCCTTTAAGGTCAAAATAGCCCACTTTGAATTCACCTTAGTGACCACCATAGTCAAGGTAGTGAATTTTCAGGTTCAGCTATTTTCACCTTAAGCTTGAAATTCACTTTGAATTCACTTTGGATTCTCACTTTCAGGTCCGGACTGGCCATCAGGCAAACCGGGGTCATGCATCTCTTTTTGCCATGGTACCATTGCATGGTAACCGGCGGCAACGATCAGTAATACCGGCGCTCGCTAGAGGGTAAAGCATGTTCTGTACCCTGCGGAGGTACAGACCGAATAATCAGCCCACTGGATCACCAAGGGTTATCGTCAGCATGCTCCCCTCGACCCTAGCAAGGTAATAAGAGGGAGAGGAGTGCAATGTATATATTTTAATGATTAAATTAATTAAGCAACCATATTACCCCTATTAACCCACTACAACCCCTGCCATCATACCTACTATTAACCCACTACACCCCCTGCCATCATACCTACTATTAACCCACTACACCCCCTGCCATCATGCCCCCTATTAACCCACTACACCCCCTGCCATGTTATCCCTATTAACCCACTACACCCACTGCCATCTTACCCCTATTAATCCACTACACCTCATGCCATTATACCCCCTATTAATCGACTACACCCTATGCAATTTTACTCCCTATTAACCCACTACACCCCCTGCCATCATACCCCCTATTAACCCACTACACCCACTGCCATCTTACACCTATTAACCCAATACACCCCCTACCATCTTACCCCTATTAACCCACTACGCCACATGCCATATTACCTATACCAACCCACTACACCACCTGCCATCTTACCCCCTATTAACCCACTACACTCCCTGCCATCTTACCCCTATTAACACAGTACACACTCTGCCATCTTACCTATATTAACCCACTACACCCCCTGCCATCTAACCCCCTATTAACCCAGTACACCCACTGCCATCTTACACATATTAACACAGTACACCCTCTGCCATCTTACCCCCTATTAACCCAGTACACCCACTGCCATCTTACCCCCTATTAACCCACTACACCCCCTGCCATCTTACCTCTATTAACACAGTACACCCCTGCCATATTACCCATACTAACCCACTACACTCCCTGCCATTTTACCCCTATTAACCTACTACACCCCTGCCATGTTATCCCTATTAACCCACTACACCCACTGCCATCTTACCCCTATTGACCCACTATATGTCCTGCCACATTATCCCTATTAACCTACCCCTATTAGTCCCTATTAACCCACTACATCCCCTACCATCTTACCCCTATTAACCCACTGCAGCTCCTGCCATTCTGCCCCCTATTGACACACTACACCCCCTGCACTTACACACAATACACTCTCTATACCCATTATATACACCCCTTGCACTCACACACACTACACACACTCTATACCCCTTTAAATACACACACTACGGGGGCGGGGCCGGGCCGCCGAGCTGGATGGTCGCAGGCAAGACCAGCTCCTACACCGTTCCAACGTTAAAGCTTTTAAAACATGACTTTTGAACTAAAAGCAGACCAACAGCAATGATCCTCAGTGCAAAGGGAACACTGGATCCAGGGAGAGGCTGGCTCCTCAAGTTTCAGTCCCCTGGAGGAGAAATCTTCGATGTCCCAGTTGGGGCCTTCTCCGGCGGTGAGTGGGGCAGACGGCCGCTGCCCCGCTATCCTGCCTAACAGAACCCAGCCAGAGGACCAAACCCGCGTGACCCTGGCCCTGTTCCCCCCCCCTCTGGACCGGTGGGGGTGATCCCGGTCCTCACCCTGTTGCCCCGACCGCGGAACTGCAGCCAAGGCGCAGCGACAACACCACCTTGATCTGCGGCCCGAGCGCTGCATCTAAAATGGCGGGCGCCATGTGCACCGAAGGCAGAGGAAAGAACTGCTCTCTCTCAGCGCTCACAATAAGCAGCGCGACTCCCGGGCACAAGCTTGAAGGGCTTGCAGCCTTCCTACCTCGCAATGCAAACAGACGGAAGAACTCTCACCCGTCCCCGCAACAATCCAAGCCAGCGACAAGCTGTGAAGGCGATCCAATCAAGCTGATGACAGCTGCAGCACAGAGGGGACGGAACACAGCACAACGACCATACCCGCCAGGGACAATCGACCCTGCCGCTAATCGAGGTACTCCTGCAACAGGGGGTGACCCCTTTATCACCTTACACCCATCTTGTATTGCGACGGCCCCAAAAATCCAGCGTGGAAGTCAGTGGCAAGTTTTATTGGATAAAATCTAGCTCCCTGCCTTGGTGGACACTGGTCCCCTGAAGATCAAATATGGCTGGCCCAACTTACAACAGCTGCAGCCCAAGGGAACCCAGCGAGGAATTCAGCGAAAAGTAATGCTGGACTGTGCCCAGACTCCTGCCTCGACAGACACTCATTTCCTGCTACACCGACACGGCAGAGCAGGCAACAGCTAATCATACGACTGCTCCCTTATATGAGGTCTCAGACCCGCCATGGTGCCGGTTCCTGTCTTTTGCATAAGTTCAAGCAACTTTGATCAACCAGGGTGATAGCTCCTCTAAAGCTCCTTACCTAGATCCAGCATGATTATAATTTATTTTGTAATCTTATGTTTTTCTAATTTTATATAGCATTCATTAGGCATGCGTTCAGACAGCCTGTCACCAACTAATCTTATACTGACACATGTGTTTGCCTAATAATCTACTTGCTTATTATTTTACTCTGTTAACACGCATGTCTCACCAGCTTGTTTTATACTCACTTACAGGTCTAAGTAACTCACATCGACCACATCTTATGTTTTGCTATATAGACATGTTTGACTACGCTGTGACCTAGCTACTTAACTTAAAAAAAAATGTGTGCAGTGACCTTCTATGCCTTATATTTATGTATGTATTTTACTAATCTTGTACCTGCTGTTGGGGCATGGCAAGAGCTTGTGATAACTATTTGCACCGCAAAAATAAAGAATTTTAAAAAAAAAAAAAAATACACACACTACACACCCTTCACTTACATACACACAGTACACAAACTCTATACCCCCTTTTGACGAAGTGCCCTTCGCCACTTGTGCCTGGAGAGGACTGCTTGCCCGCCTCTTGCCCTGTGACTATGGCCCCTGGTTTGTATTGCCCTTTAAAGACATGATTTGGGCATAATTGATTTGTGTTGTGCTGCTGCTGGCCCTTTAAGAACCATCTGGGGACATACTGTGGAGTTACTGGGTGGCCACCATTTCCTGTATCAGAAGCACATGGTGAGAACAATGGATGGCGGCCATTTTAACTCACAGACACTGTGTGGACTTTTCAACACGGTGCCATCTCGCCAGTATTTGGTGCACAGAGACATCGTGCAGTGGTTTTGGACTATACAGCAGGGGACACATTATACAGTGATTGTTTTTCATTTAGCCTGTATATGTTCTGCAGAATCTGCATTAAACTGTATTTTCCAAAGTACTGAACGGATCTGGGTGAATTTTGGATATGTGGTTCACCCAGATCCCCCGGTTCCAAGGATATACTTTTTATGGGGTTATTGCATGTTTTGGGGTCCCTGCGATGTATATTTTAGAAGTTATGAATGCTGTAAACATTGTAATGTTTCTGGCCAGCAGATAATTGAGCTTTGTGTATTGTAGAAACTCAATTATCTAGCCTGGCCCAGAGGAGGAGTTTTGTGTTGCATAAATTGTGAGTTCTGTGTGCCAGTAAATCAGTCTTGTTCCAGCATTAAGCCTTGGCTCATGTTTGGGGGAAGGGATACCTACACTCTGGGGATTGCTATAATCACTTACTCCCCAGAGGAAGCTCTTGCAATAGCTTGATTTGTTCCTGTTCCTGCTCTCTGGGGAAAGAGAGGTTCACCCACTGGAAGCTGGATCCTGGCCTTGGGTCCAGGGTGGGTGGAAACAGCAGAGACCCCGGCGCAGTTGCATCGCTGGAAGTGGGGTCTGCAGTGCTGATGGTGTCGGTTGGAGTGCTTGGAGTCCTCAGCGAGCACTAGGAGCATCGATTGGCGGAGGTACTCAGTCGGAGTGCCAGCGTTCCGTCACATTTGGTGGCAGCGGCGGGATGGTGTCCTAGTGCGAGGACCAGCAGCTCGGAGACACCGGTAACATGTGGAGTTACGGATTTATAATTGAGGCCAACGCTAGCACTTGTGCAGCGACCCTGGCTTCAGAGGAACTCAAGGGATAGAGCTAGCTACGGGCAGCGTCCCTATCCACAGCAACATGGAAGAGGAGTTTCGCTGGAGGTTGCAGCAGCACTTGGCCCAACAGGACGGGCCTGTATCAGAGGAGTGCATACTGGACTGGAGAGATGTCACTCGTACGGAGATGTGGCACGATGCCCTGGAAAAGGTACAACGGCGGCGGGGAGAGAGCCTTCCCAGTGACGAGCAGCGGTTCCAGGTACTCGAGGCCCTGCGCTCCCCTTTCCTAGGGGAGCAACCCTTGGATGAATGGTTGTTGGAACTCTGGGATTTAATTTGGAAGGAGTTGTGGCTAGATGCAGCTTACCGGGCATTAAAGTGGTACGCCACCCAGCGCAACCCCTCGATGACTAACCACTATCTGCCCGAGGGAGAGGATTATAATGGCCCGGGCTTACTGTGGGAGGCCTATGAGGAGGGCGATGACTTTGGATGCCCCACAGAGTTTCGGTTCTGGGACATCCACAACATCAGGGAAACCCTGCTGGATTTTCCCCGAGCGGACGACCTGGGGCCAGACCTGAGTCATCTGGTCGCAATGGAGTGGGGGCTGGAGCAGAGCTACCGACGCCTGTTCAACTTAGCCCAATCACCGTCCCTCAGCCCAAAGGATTACCTGGACACCCTACCCTCTTCTGTCCAACCAGCCCCAGAGGTGAGCAACCTTATGGAACGGTCCTGGGAAGACCCACAGATGGCAGGTGGAGATGGAACTGAGGTGCTGGGTACCCAGGGATGCTGGGTACCCAGCCCAGATCCCCAGCGGCAGTGTATCTCACAGGGAGAGGAGACAACCGGTCTCCCTTCCCAGCAGCAGCCTGAGTTCCAGGAAGAGGTGATGGTAGATCCCTCCCCCATACAGCAACCAGCGTCCTGGGGAGGGGAGGCAACCGGCCTCCCTCTCCTCCACCAACCAGAGGTACCTGAGGTAGTGGACCTCATAGACGTGTCCTGGGGACACACAGAGATGGCAAGCGGAGATGGGACCGAAGTCTCTCTGCCAGCCCTACAGGGATGCTGGGCAGTCAGCCCAGGTCCCCAGCGGCAGCATAATATACAGGGAGAGGAGACAACTGGTCTCTCTCCCCAGCGGCGGCCTGAGTTCCAGGAGGAGGTGATGGTCGATCCCTCCACCTTACAGCAACCAGCGTCCTGGGGAGTGGGGGCAACCAGCCTCCCCCTCCAACAGCAGCCAGAGATACCGGGAGAGGGGGAAGACAAACCTAACCACACTGGCGCAGATGGGACCGCGGTCTCTGTGCCAGTCCTACAGGGAGGCTGGACGGGCGGTCCAGATCCCCAACCAACCCCGCAGGGATGCCAGGAGGAGGAGGTAAGCAAAACTTCCCCTCCCCAGCTACATCCCAACCGGGTCCTGGGGGCAGTGGATGATCCTGCGATACCCACTGACCCCCTCCCAGCAGAAGAGCTGGCCTCTGGGCAGAGCTCTGTTAGCCTCTGCCCCCCCCTTTTCCCCTGTATCAGAGCCTGACTTACCACGGGTTACCCCAGGGGAAGAGCTGGCAGCAGGGCAGAGCGCCGCTGGCCTCTGCCCCCCAAGCAACACCAGCAGTTTGCCTAGCTTCACCAGGGAGACCGAGAGTGCTGCGCTGTCCCACTACAAACTTGAACCTACAGGCCAGTACCATTTATTGTGGGGGGGTTACTCTGTGTATTTTTCTTTGTGGGTGGGCTGCCCGACTAATCTAGGTACTGACCGGCAGAAGGTCAGGTACCTGTTTAGTCTTCCCCCCAAAGGGAAGATGTGTGACGAAGTGCCCTTCGCCACTTGTGCCTGGAGAGGACTGCTTGCCCGCCTCTTGCCTTGTGACTATGGCCCCTGGTTTGTATTGCCCTTTAAAGACATGATTTGGGCATAATGGATTTGTGTTGTGCTGCTGCTGGCCCTTTAAGAACCATCTGGGGACATACTGTGGAGTTACTGGGTGGCCACCATTTCCTGTATCAGAAGCACATGGTGAGAACAATGGATGGCGGCCATTTTAACTCACAGACACTGTTTGGACTTTTCAACACGGTGCCATCTCGCCAGTATTTGGTGCACAGAGACATCGTGCAGTGGTTTTGGACTATACAGCAGGGGACACATTATACAGTAATTGTTTTTCATTTAGCCTGTATATGTTCTGCAGAATCTGCATTAAACTGTATTTTCCAAAGTACTGAACGGATCTGGGTGAATTTTGGATATGTGGTTCACCCAGATCCCCCGGTTCCAAGGATATACTTTTTATGGGGTTATTGCATGTTTTGGGGTCCCTGTGATGTATATTTTAGAAGTTATGAATGCTGTAAAAATTGTAATGTTTCTGGCCAGCAGATAATTGAGCTTTGTGTATTGTAGAAACTCAATTATCTAGCCTGGCCCAGAGGAGGAGTTTTGTGTTGCATAAATTGTGAGTTCTGTGTGCCAGTAAATCAGTCTTGTTCCAGCATTAAGCCTTGGCTCATGTTTGGGGGAAGGGATACCTACACTCTGGGGATTGCTATAATCACTTACTTCCCAGAGGAAGCTCTTGCAATAGCTTGATTTGTTCCTGTTCCTGCTCTCTGGGGAAAGAGAGGTTCACCCACTGGAAGCTGGATCCTGGCCTTGGGTCCACGGTGGGTGGAAACAGCAGAGACCCCGGCGCAGTTGCATCGCTGGAAGTGGGGTCTGCAGTGCTGATGGTGTCGGTTGGAGTGCTTGGAGTCCTCAGCGAGCACTAGGAGCATCGATTGGCGGAGGTACTCAGTCGGAGTGCCAGTGTTCCGTCACACCCCTAAACACATTACACACACTCTATAACCCTTATACACACACACACACACACACACACACACCCTTCACTCACATACACACAGTACACAAACTCTATACCCCCTAAATATACACTACACTCCCTGCACTCACACACTCTATACCCCCTATAAACACACACTATACCTCCTGCACTCACACACTATACACACTATATGTCCCTTATGTGGGGATATTTATGGGATGATAATATTATACAGTTGAGAATTGCCCACTATTTCAATTCTCTTAGATCTTAGAGATCGTTATCATGTAAGGGAAATGTATTCCATACAAATAAAATCACAATTTGTTATAAAAATAGATCTAATTTATTGTGACAAATAAAATAATAATAATATTAGGCAGCATGCATGATAATAATCAGTGAATATTTAGTATAACATAAGTATGCAATTAAACACAGTACAAAGCTACAGCGTCAACTGTCAAGACTTACACGATTTATGAGGGTACATCACAGACACAGAAAGCTAAACTTACAGCGAAAAGCCATAAAACATCGGCTAACAGTTAGATCAACTGAGTAACCCTTTCAATGCTGGCTAGATCCTCCTAGGCATATAATATCCTATTCTCATGTTATTTTCAATTAAAATAACATTCGAACCAGCTCATTAATCATTTCCTGGAACCATCCAATAAGAATAATCTACCAGATTTTTACAAAAGCCAAATTTTAATTTGCCTAAAAAGATATCTTATCTTATTTTAGAGCAAATCAATACACCTGGATAAAAACAGCGGTATGCTAACACGTGATAATATCACATTAATATATAATTATTCTTAATTCCACCTGCAGAATGGAATGTTTATAACTTGTGATCCTTGTCGGCAGGTAGCACGGTCCTCTAGGGCAAAAACATGCACAGTCCTTGTAAATGCATATACTCCAGGCACTTTATTTTTAAATCCACACAGGATACAGCAGAAAATGAAAAACAAATGTAACAAAACCCTATAAACAAAAACCTAGCTCGTCTGAGCACTAACTGACATTAGGTTCCCTATCTCTCAGGGTTAAACTAAACAAAACAAT